TGTTGTTTTTAATAATGTATTTTTTTTTTATTATTTAGTTTTTTTTTTTTTTTTTTTTTTTTTTGGGGGGGGGGGGGGGTTCAACGTGATATTTTTCAGGACATCTTAAAAATTCAGAGAAACTAGGTCACTGATTGGTCGTTTGTCATGATATCCATATGTGACTCTTTGTATATGGGGAGTGATATTTTACCAGAGACAAAACCAAAGCGTGTTTTCATGCCCTTGGACTGCCACCAAAAATTCTTAGAGAATGTTTTGCATCCCAACTATCCTACAAACAGCAGGCTGGCAGCCATTGTCTGAGGTCCTCTCACAGGGCAGGAAGCATCTGCTACTTCCACAGCATGCCAGCATGTTCTTTTCACTGAGAGAACGGAGCAAATGGGAATCCCTGAGCTTTGTTTTTTTTTTTTTTTTTTTTACTTGAAAGGAGGAAGAGACTAAAGGGGGGAAGCTAAGGACACAGCGGGATCAAAACAGAGCATTTAAATAAGTTATTTCACAAAGTCTCAGCCTCCGGCATGTGTTAGAAAGGAAGACATCAATAATACAATGACTGTGGATGACACAGGGAAAAGACATGAAGTATTCACTTCTAGTGGACTTTTATTTTTCAATTTTATTCTGATTTTGTTTTGTGATAAACTCAAAGTAGAGTATAATTATAAAGTGATAGGGTAATTCTACAGGCTTTTCAGATTCCTTCATAAATAAAATTGAATGCACTTGCATTGTACCGTCTTTACTGAACACATTCTCACACCACCTCTCGATGCGGTTATCACTGTTGATCTTTTGGATTTTGTCTCCACCAGATTTCCAGATTTTAACTGTTCTTTTTTTCACAAAATAACTCAAGCTTAATAAGATTGGACAATGTCTGTAAAGTATTGTAACAGGTTCTCAGTAGGATTATGTTCTGGACTGTACCTGAGCCAGTCTAACACAATAATATCTTTTCATCTAAATTATGTTGTTGAAGCTCTGGGTCTATGTTTTTTGGTTGTTGTCTTACTGGACAATGAACCTCGACAAGGTTCATTCTCCTGTACGGTCTAAAGAAATCCTTCCCCACAGCATGATACTGTGGTCATATTATGTGTATGATGCATGCATACCCATAATGTGTGTTGTGCAGTGATAGTTGATGTAGTTTGTTTCAGAAAGTTTTTACTACTTACAAAAACGAAGGATGTTTGGCTTTTGGGTGGAATTTATTGTAACAAGTTTACAATAGAATATTGTACGCATCAAGAAAATAGAGGATTTAAGTAAAAGCATACAATGTTTATTTCCTCATCTCAAACACTGTATTGAAACAAAAGCCAACAACAATGGCTAAAGGTAAATGGACTGAACTTACATGGCACTTTATCCAGTCATTTTTGACCACTCAAAGTGCTTTACACTAGAGTCACAGTCACCCATTCGCACTCACAAATGCTCACACATTTATACACCGATACGAAGATCGGTAGGCAATTTGGGTTTAAGTGCCTTGCCCAGGGGCACATTGACATGTGGCAGGAGGAAGCTGGAATTGAACCTACAACCTTCTGATCGCAAGACAACTACTCTACCCACAGAGTAGATTTGCTAATGTCTCAAGAATGTGTCATGTGCCCTTGAGGCAACAATGTCTCGTGATGTTTGACTTATTGTCTCTTTGAACGACAGAAGTCAGGTCATTGAGGTTCTGGGGTCCAGAGTCATGAGCCTCTACACCAGGGGTCCCCAAACTACGGCCCGTGGGCCGCATCCGGCCCGCCTCCTCATTTGGTCCGGCCCCCTGAATAATACCAGAGAGCATTCAGGGTTTTTTTGTCATATATATGTGGATTTTTCTTCAACCACCAGGGGGGCTCTTGAGCAGATATGAAACTTAGTTTCCCTCAATGGAATATATACTAGTCAGTACCAGTCACCGTTTCGCTCACAGTTTTTTTCCATTTGCATTCTGGGTAAAAATCTATCTACAAACGCGAATATGTCGTCGGGAGTAATCCAAACCCCCCCCCCCCCCCCCCCAAAAATTTTCTAAGGTTTTTTTTCTCTCAAAAGAAAAACCCCCCCCCCCCCAGCCCCAAAAATTTTCTAAGGTTTTTTTTCTCTCAAAAGAA